TATATATATATATATATATATATATACACAACAATTTTTTTTTTGCCTCAATTCAGTCCTGGTTTTGTCCTCATGTTTTTGTAATGAAGAATAAATCAGCATTATCATTGTTGTTTTTGAAGTCCTTTAGTCGTCCACGTAGGATCCATAGCAAAGGAGAAATTCAGTTCTGTCAACTGGATAAAATATATATATTTTTTTATCAAATAAATTTTGCAGCTGAAGAATTGAACTGAAGAAAGGTAAAATATTCAATCAAAAAAAAACTTTTGTCCAGTTGACAAATTGAATTTCTCCTTTGCCATTGTCATTGTTAACAGTAAAAGATACAACATGGGGACAGAGATAAGTAACATTTATGAAATTTTAAATCTTTCATACAGTGCATGAAGAGGTGGACTAAGGGAGTGTCATGCCACCCACAGCGCTCAGCCAAATGAACACTATGGGTGACATAATACTGTTTTGAGAAGAGGAGTGTGCTAAACAATGCTGTCAATCAAACCTGTTGCAAATGCTAGCTGGAGCAACTTTGGGGAGAGAAGGAAAAAGATTTGTTTGTTATTAATGTAGAGATCTTGATTTACGGGCAATAGCAAAATAGGTTTAATATGAACATTTTAAGACCAAAATGATGAGTCTGACAGCAGCTGTTACGAAGAGAGGGGCCATGGGTTTTCAATAGAAAGTGAACTGGAGTTGATGAATCCGGAAACATGCCCATGCTCACTTCCTATTTGGAATGTAGTGGCTAGTGTGTTAGCTATGTCCATTTATATATATACAGCCCCTTTAACCTTTGATATTGACACATGGTTTTTACATAATCTTGTATAATATATTGCAGAATATATTTGTCTGAAGTTATACATAATATAAATATTGCATTCTTTCTTTATTGCACAGCTGTAGTAAATGCTTAGCTATGGGTTTGAGCGTACACTTTTCATTTAGCTCTAAAAGACATAGTGGACACCATAACAAGCTGTGTGCAGCGACTCTTCGCCTTGCCCACTCTCTCTCCTGTGAACTTGTCAGCGACGCTCATCTCCATACCAGCCGCTGACCTACCGTAATAACCCTGATGTATGGCCACAGTATCTGACCTTTCCCACAATCCCACAGTGGGACAACCTTCACCACCTCTGATTTTCCTCCTGCACCCCTCTCGCCCTCCTCGCCCCCCTCCCCCATGCACCTCTCTATTCTGTGCACCTCGTCTGGCTGTACGCGCCACACTCCACTGCCCCTATGAATGTTAATGTGCTGATGGGAGAGGGAGGGGGAGCGGGTGGGATTCACCTGGAATATACATTAGCTCTATAGATGGTGTTTTTGCATGTTATTGTACACACTGAGCTAATGGTTTCTCCTGTCAATACAAGTGAAAGATCTGGCCACAAGAAGCGACATTATTAAGAGTATTTATTGCTTAAACAGCCAGAGTGTTGTATTGATTTCCTATAACGCAGAAATAACTTGCCAACTGAACAATCACACAAATGTTTTGAGACAGATAGTCAAAATTTCTGGCTTCTTGAAAACAGATGATGCCCACGTTTAAACAAGTAAAACCTAGATGTGCCAGTGATGATGACAGTGTTACTTAATCTTTGACCTTTATGGAACCTTTCAAATGGAGATGGCAGATTAAGTCTCTATGACACCCACTGACAAGGTGCAGACGTCTCCCTGGAGACACTCTTTACCACAACTGTGGGCTGTACTAGAATGTTCCACAATATGGCATTAAGTAGATCTAGTTTTTATGTGTTCAATTACAGCATATTTTTATTGCTAAAGAAAAAACATGGATTCTTACTGTGATCAGGGTCACCTCTCCACAGACTGGTTAGTGCTGATACTTGCTATAGATGCAGCTGAAAATGTGAGTACTGTGAAACATTCTCAGTAAAGCAAAATGATTTTATGATTCCAATTTATGTACGTTTTAATAAAGTCTAGTTCAAATATAAGAAACTTGCATAAATGTCAATGACAAAGGATGCTGTACACAAAGGAACTAAAAGGCTATAATTAATAATGAATATTTGTGACATATGAAGGCTAGGGGCTTTAAGGACTAATAGGTTTTCTGATAGCAGGCTTGGGCAGTATATTTTAGCATTGCAACATAGACCCAATGCCTTACTGGAGATGTGTGCTTCAATAATGTGTTTTAGGCAGTTAATATGAGACGTCTGCTGGATATTCTTTCGCCCATTCATGGTGTGAGGACAAAAGACATGTAGTTCTGAAGAATCCTCATGTGCCACTGAAGTAATGACCTCCTCCACAGGCCCATGTGAGAAGTAGCCTATCTCACTGTGAAATAGACTCCTCAATATGAGGCCAATGCAGAGGGCCAGGCGAGATGAGATGATCTCTTCAGTGTCTTGAATGCAGAGCTCAGAGGAGCAGCTGCGCCTGGTACAGTGTCTCCTCTTTGTCACTCCCAAAAGGCTCTTGTTTTCAGGCGATAATCAGACAGACAGGGGCTTCGAGAGGATCTGGATCTGCTCTCATTTCAACTGTTGCACACACACTCATGAACACACACACTCATGAACACACACACACCCACGAACACACACACACACACTTAAATTGGGATCTGCCAACTGGGTCAGGTCTTTGTCTCTCAAGTGCTGTCAAGTCACAGAGAGTGTGAATATGGAATTATGGGCCGCCTCAGAAGCATGATTGGGTCTGCGCTCTGCTCTGTCTTAATTCCTCCATCTCAAACTCACAAAATGATCCTTATTCCCCAGTATCAGTCTGGGCACAAGCATGGAACCAATGTAAACTGGGGAAATGCAAGACGTATTATTGGAAGACAAGGAAAGTTGAGGAATTACACTGACACTGAAATTGCAATACTGCAATTCCTGGTTCTATTTATTAACTCAACTAGTCTCAAAGGGGAGGGTCCCAAAGCACATATATGCTGCTAAGGACAACTTGTCAATCTCCAGTTCTTTCCAGGAGTTGTCTATAGGTCTAGAATACATCCTAATGCAATGATTCTGTTTTATGGGAATGACTGATGGTCCAAGCTTCTTCATTAAAAACAAATATTCTTTTAAATAAAGTGAGGACATGAGCTGGATGTTTAAAACATTTTTAATCGGTATTCCAATGTTTTAGGAGTTCAAGGAGAAAGTATATTAGTAAGTGGAAGTTTAGCCATTATATTGTAGCACAATGATAAAAAATTGCCTATTCAAAAGTTGTTTGCTTGCAGAAAAGTTAGATGTACTGTTTAGCTTTAATGATTACCTTGTTCTGTACATAATATTTTATTTATGTAGGTTATTTTCAAAGAAGGGCACTATAAAGTAACTAGGAATGTCTTTGGTCTTCATGATGAGACTTGGGCGTCTTGAACCATAGACAAATTGTTAGTATGTTCCACAAGGATTTAGTTTTCCAATTTTTCCCCGATATGAAGTGTCTAAATGACAGACTTCCATGCAGAGAGGAAGAACATTATTGTGCAGTTTGTCAGTGATTAAAAGAAGAATTAGCCGACCTAGTGCGCTACCTCAAATGAGCGAAAACCCTTTGGGACAGCACACAGAGCAGGAGGCACACTTCCAATTATAGCGCCAAATGACTCCTTCTCATTCTGGGCGCCGTATAATTGTGGTGGGTATTGGGTGCATGCAACTCAATTTGTCTTACATATTTGTTGGTAGGACGGTAATAGAGTTGACAAAGCCATGGGAATTAAATGAAAGAATTAGAACAAAATAAAAAAGAAAGAAAATGAGACAGATTCTTCAATATTTGTTTGATCTGCCTCAGACGTGCTAAGACGGTTTAAGTTTAGAAGTCAGGAAATAATAGAGCTTTAATCATCGGTGCTTGAGGAATGGGAAGACTATCACTTTCGAATAATCAGGAAACGCATCCCCTGAGTATAAAAGACTTTGTACTAAAATTAATGAGTCTCCCAGTTATGTGAATATCTGTCCCAAAGATCATCAGTACATGGAAATCATGGGTTGAATAAGGCCAGTGTTTTGGAGAGGACACAGGAGGCACATCTGGGGGCAGGAGAGCTGAAGATGCTGGAGTGACAATACTGGAAAGGATTAAGATTGAGAACAGGGATCATTATTTTAGATTGTGATGATTTGAGCAATTATTGAAAACTAAACAGAATATCAACAACAACAAAAAAACAAAAAAAAACAACAACAACTTGTGCCTACCAGTTTCATGTCTATCAGTTTGGCTTGATGATAGAAAAATAAGCAATCTTTTTTAATGGGTAATGTATAATTGACTTTTATGAGCCATTAATGTTTATACTGGTGTTCCCTCGCTATTAGCTTACATCAAAATTGTATTTTCACTGATTCATGCATGTTTAGGTAATCCGTTATTGTTCTGTGTTCATGGCTTGAGTGGTTTGAAAATTGTTTTCACCTACCTCCTATCCCCACCCACTGCCCTGCAATTGCAATTATTCTAAATCCGTCTTTGAAATACATGTCTTCTTTAAAAGTCCTATATTACACAAAATTGACTCTTATGAGCTTAAGACATGTTAGAATGCTGTTATCTCATCTAAAACATACCCAGAGTTGTGTTTTGTTCATTGACACGTTTGAGTAACCCTTTATTATTAGTCTGTCTATATCTCCAAAGCTCAAAATGCTCTACTCCACCTTGGTAGTTTTCAAGTTAACAGCTACTTTTTACATTTTGTTCAGTAGAGATGGTCAAATTCAGGGCTGAAATTTTCCAAATGTTCCTAGTGAATGTGTATGGATTTTAAAAACACAGTGGAGCACTTGCTGTATTACCACAGAAATCACAAGGTGGAGCAGAGTGTTTTCTGTTCGAGGAAAGAACTCAGCCTAAATGTGCAGGGTTTGTGTGTTAAACATGAGTGAACGAAACAAAACATAACTTCAGGTATATTTTTGATGAGGAAACATGTTAACAGGTCAGAAAATGAATAGTTGTTAGAATGAATTATCAAGAACCCGTTAAATTACATAGGATTTATTTTCTGAAACACATTTAGAGGTCACTGTTGAGGTTACGGTTGATAACTCTCATTCTACACAAGAAAAGTCCAGTCAAATACAAAGCAACTGGACTCAATACAAGAAATTAAAGGCACAGCACTATAGGAAGCATTCACATGGTTTGTGCACTCTCACCATTATGTACCCTAAAAAGCCTGAAAATTACAACAATTATTAACTTGCCTTTTCAGTTAGTCAAACAGGGGAAGGAATTTGCAATTAGAAAAGTTATCATAAAAATAAGTAACATTGCATATACATTAAATAGATCATTCATATGTTACATTTAAATTTGTTAAATTTTAAGACAAGTAACGCTGAATAAGAAGTAACTTTTGTTCTTTCACACAAACCTTTACACTCAAACCCAAAACAATTACCCTAAAACATCCAAAGAAACTAACAGAGGTAAATAAATCTTTTAAAAACTTAAATCGTAAATTCAGAGACTGGAAACTACAGATAATGTTATCAAAATATGAGGTACTACTTAAAGAGGCATTGTGTAACTTTTCTGGTGGACAGTCCGTCAAATGCTTTTCTCCATGGTAATGGATTGTTTCACAGTATGGTAACTTTCTGTCTTCATGAAGACCAAACCAGACCAAGTTACAGGTCAGATCTGTGGAGAGGCAATGCCACTTACAGTCCAAATGCTTGTTTTTCTAAGTATTTTTGAGCCATAAACCCACCTGTAATTTAATAAATGTAAGGTAGAGCGGTTGAATGTCATACTGTGGAGCATTCCAGGCAGAGCAATGACATATCTATAGAAACAAGCAGGTGGAGGACCCCCAACCAAAAAGTTACATAGTGCACTTTTAACTACACCTTAATTGCCTTAATAATGCATGAACAAATTTAGAATGAACAAATAGTTTATTAAGAGTGATTCTGGGTAAGCAACTACTTCATTATGGGCTTAGTAGTTAGAGTAGTAGTTGCTTAATAATGTCTTTGTTCATTGTGAATTTTGTTTTTACTCATGCTTTTTAAGGCTATTAAAAGTGTAGATATTATAAAGTGTTACCTAATATTAACATTTTTTGAATTATTATCAATACCAATACATTTTGACACATCGTATCACGTAACTTTCTGGAGGGGGCATGCCACCTTGATTTAAATCCAAAGAAAAGTTGATTTATAACTGTAAACTTATAAATCTTCATGGAGACTTGCAAGCCAAATTACAGGTTAGATTTGTGGAGAGTTAACTCCACTCACAGTAAGAATGGATGTTTTTTCAAATATTTTAGAGCAAAGAATAACACCTGTAGTTGAATAAATGCACGAGAGATTTGTTTAATACCATACTGTGGACAATTTAAACCAAAGCATTAACATCTCCATGGAGACCCTGTCCAGAGAAGTTACACATTGCACCTTTAACGATGACAAGTCTATAATATAAATTAAGTTAAAATACCCTATAGAGTCAGGTGTTTACCAAGAGCGTGGCCTCACTTTGCACCTTCCTTGTTACAACTATGACTTTGTGCGTGTAATTCTATTCATCAGATGCGTGAGTGAGGCGTAGTGTGCGGAAACATGACGGTAAAGTGCAGCATATGTGAACTGTTTGAGTGTGAACAGAAGGGGCAGCTGTGGTTTTGTTGTGTGGCGTGCTGCCCATGGCTCACTGCAGGGAAACCTCCACAAGCCCCTGGTCTAAAAAGAGACGCTTCCCTACTCCCTGCTGGGCTGTCCTGTCCAACTCCATTATAGTGTTCCTCGTCTTTCTTCAGTAACTAAGTGCTCCCTGCTTGATTGTTAAAATTCCCTTTTTTCTCGCCAACGCCCTCAGGAAAATGTGTTGCCTTTTGTCGATTCGTCGGTCATCAAAGCGCTTGCCAGTCTAGAGCAAGCGTATGTCAAAAACCAAAGTAGTGCCGAAGTCATTATCTGAACTGCATATTTAAAAAAACAAGGCAGCTGATTATCAAATCCAAAAAATATCCTAGGCTATAATCTTTCTAGACACTGACAGTTATTGGTAGCTCTTACATGTACAAAATACACTAATCAGACATAGACATAGATACATTTGTAGAAGTCATAGGGATGGGCGATATGCCAAAAAATATGATCACAATTTTCTTAATGCCAGATCATAATTTCATTTTAATAATGTCATCCTGCTCTTGAGAGTTAACTCTTCGCTGTTATTCTTTAAATCCTGTCAGTCACTCAAACCAATACAGAAGCTGACCAGTACGAGGAGTGGGTAGGAAAATGTGAGTTATTGAATCAAAACATGACAACATCTTCAAAATTGCACATTGACAAAAGGAATAGTTCATGATTCGATTTCATTGCCATATCGCCCAGCCTAAAATAGTCACTTGTCCAATATTCAGCTCCATAAGCATCAAGTGTGATGTACTTTGCATTGTATCATTGGATGCATTGGATCCAGCCTTTTTCTTTACAAGAATTTAGCTACAGCACATTTATCAGAAAAATGCGGATCACCCTTTATTCCTGCTCATGAGCATTACCAGTGCACTGCCCTGCACTGTACTTTTATCAATCTCTATTCTCTACAATAGATTTCAGAACTTTTGTTCAAGTGAATTTAAGATATTTGGGGATCACAGCCAACAGTTCATTAGTAACCAGAAAACTGCTCAGGACTTCATGTTGGCTCCTCCATACTCAGAAACAGAATTTAGTCCAGGGGGGAACGATAAGGGGACAGAGATTCGCTCCTGTTAGGATGAGGCTGATTCCATCGTGGACAGGATCCGCACCACCTCGGCTCTTTGGGTCGGGGAGATGTGCTGAGTCATGTGAACGATGGAATCCATGGCAACTTCAGGATTGGCTTGGACAAGGCTAAGAAGGAAGAAGAGTGATAACATGTAAAATAAATAGAAAAAGCAACACCAGTTTGGGAAGTGATTTGTGTTTTCAGAAATGTTAATTGAGGAGTAAAACGAGAAGACTATTCTAATCTATATGACTACTACTACTACTACTACTTTTATATTTCTCTACTTTAGTATTCTTTGAATATTGAACACTCGCCTTGCAATCACAGTTCCAGGTTTGTCTACATTGTCTGTAGTAGTAGTTAAAGTTGTGGCAGTAGTAATAGTAGTGTTAGTAGTACAAGAAGAATTTCTGAAATTACAGAAGCACTAAAGTAATAGTGTTCTGAAATAAAGTTACACTGTAAAAAATTGAAATATATATTTATTATGAATATATAATTATATGCAGCATTTTTTCATCCACTGCAGTGGTTAAAATATAAAATGCAAATTACCTGCGGATCTGTTTGAGAATATGGTCTCGGCGGATGTATTTGATGTTCTCATCGATGACAGAGCGGGCCCCCTCTTCCTCAGTCAGCTGTTTCTCCAGCCAGATCACTACCTCCTCATTGTTGTCCCATAGATAGGCCTATTAAAGCAGAAGAAAAATATTATTAATAAAATGTATATTTCAGAGAATTAATGAATTATACTAAGTAATTTGAAACACTATTTTGCATAAAATAACTAATTTAATTACTAATTTTATACTTGCAAACTTGCAATCAAATGCTTAAATCAAAGTTACATTATGGAGCTCTGCTGTTTTTCATACAATACAAGTGATAGGAGATGTTTTGTTTGTTTGTGAAGTTAACATCAACCACACCATGGAGATGGACCTTTGCAGTTCAGTGGCCTTGTGGACCGGGCCTTGTGGTAGAATTAGTATTCATGAGTGCTGGCATCTCTGATCCCAAACAAAGCGCGGCTTGAGGGCTTAGCAAAGATTTGGGGGCGGAGGGTTTAATGGGCTCTTGGCTTTTTTATGAACAGTCCTGCTTGAGGTCCACAAGAACATTTAATGCCCTTATTAATCATTTTTAATCTGTTTGCATTTAATTAAGAAACAGCGTGTTGCTCTCCTATCAGCACGTGCCAGGGCTGTGATTAATTGTGGCTTAAGACAGCGGCTCCTGATTGGGGTAATGTATGAGCTAACAAGAAGGCCAGTTCTGAGGAGACGTGAAAATGGCGGCTGGCGTATGTCAACCCCGTAGCTGCTCCACTGAGCCTCCGATGGAGCCTGAAGGTACTGAAGGGAATTTCTCAGAGGGATGTTTGTTTCATTTACCTACACTTATCGCTTCATCTGGACTTAATCCTGATGCTTTCATAGGGATGTGCGCCTCAGATCAGGCTTTGAGGATAAATAATTTCAAGAAAAATGAGGAATCTTTTGTTGGTATTAAGAAAATGTGCTTTTAGTATTTTTCTTGGGAAAAAACATACCTTCACAGCCCCTTCAGCCTCCACAAACCAGCGCCGCAGCATGGCCTGGATTTGTCCGTCCGTCAGCTCTGTGTTGGCCAGATGGATCTTTCTTTTCACTGTGTCCTCCAGCAACAGCCGACGCAGACGCCAATAGAAGAACTGACGAGAGGTCTGCCATTCAAGTATGTCCTGAAGATAACAAACATCTTTATTTTAATTTTCTGACATAAATACAACATGTAATTAAACATATACTTTCGAGGTGATGTTTGCCATTTCGGGTAAATGTTACTTTAGCCCTTGTCCAGGTCAAAGTACAGGGTTTTAAGTCAGATATTTGGTAAAAAAAACAAAAACAAATATGCATATCTTACAATATAGAGTAGAAGTAGAGTCTTCTCACATATCTGGCAATATATCATAATCTGAGTGTGTTCCCTAAATCTTTCAGGCTACTACATTTAAATTCAGCCTTTAAGCCATTAGCGAACATGCATTTAAAAGCACTCTTTACAGTTCATCCTGACTGCCATCCATCTGGTGGTGTGAGTGTGTGTTTGTGTGTGAAAGATGGTGGTGGGTCGTGGGCCTGCCTCAGGCGCCGCTGTGGTTGCTAAGGTGACTGACCAGGGTCATCAGAAGATAATTATGAGGACGAATGTCATAGCCCGCTGAGACAAAACATTATTCACCGCGCAGGTGCAGTCGCTGCTAGACTAATGCTGCCCTGTGGCTTTTTAGGACACTCATGTGTCGCTCTATTGTACCACTGTATATGGACAAGAGACAGACTTTAACTCCTAAAATATAACAGATACTGCATACAATTTATATACTGAAATAAATGAATGAAATATTCTCACCGTAATAACACCTTTTTCTTGCATGCGTCCGGGAGTATCATGAAGATCTGCAAACTGCACAGCCACTTGGTGATAGATGGGCAACAGAAACTCCTCACGCTCCTTCAACTTGGTCTCCAGTTCTTTACGATCAGGAGGGCTCAGCTCTGGAGTTCCTGAAAAAATAATTACATTTATTTTGTAAATATGTATATTCTGACTTGCTTAATGTTGTAGAAGTTTTCAGCTTGTTCAAGAAAGGGTGGAAGTAAAAGGCTGGAAACCAACTGGATGTCTTAAGCAGGAGACGTTTATTTACCATCAGTAATATGGGCCTGGGGGGGACTTGAAAAGTCAACATGGTATGATTTGAAAAGTGAACATAGTATGATCTTTGAGTGTTCAAGTCCCTTGACTCTGCTTCTAAAGTAGGAGGTTTATAATGCAAGTATGGTGGGCACTGGTTACACAGCAATATGCCACAATTTAAATAATAGTATGCCAATGGTATGCCAAGGGAAGATGTTATGTCATTATAGCTCCTGTGAGTCGAGTCAGTGTTAAACTGAGAGATGTGTGTGGAGGATAAATTACTTACATTCTCTTACACTTAAGCAACATTGGTGTCAATCTGTTATAGACTATAGTTAGTTTCTTGCTCTAAGACAGTATGTTTCTCCCTGTGCCATTCTTATCTGGGTCGGTTTTGATACTGTGATCTTTTGCTTCATCACTACTGAGGCCCATTACCACCCGTATGACTCATATTTAGCTGTGCAGCTCTGAATTAGTTCCTGTTTGCTGTATTTTGTTTGTTGCTGAGACCCCCTCGGCAGCTGTCACTATAGACTGATTTCTATCAATTCCAGTCAGTAAACCCTCCAAACTCCTGAGACGGCGCTGCAGCACAGTTCCATGGAGCCTGGAGGAAAATCAATATGCTGTACAGGAGAGATGTGATTGATCTGAGCAGCCTGTGATTGACACTTGTCCCGCGGGAGCACAGTCAAGATGATACAATCAGCCATACACAACAGCAGCACACATGCGCCCACTTGATATATGGCAGCGTCTTAAGGCAAAAAGGGCAGGAGACAGCACTGGAGATGAGACACCACAGAGATACTTGTAAAGAGCTATAATTACAAATTGAGTGGAGGGCTCACCTAGTCGTTCAGCCAGGCTCATATAAATAGGGTCTACTCGTCTCATGGTCTTCACAAGATCTTTCCTCCTAAACTTGATCTCCACTGTTCCCTCAGGCTCCAGCACTCCTCCACTAAAAAAACAAACAAAAAACAAAAAAAACAAAAACATCTTGCATTAGTTTAGTGAGTATTACCTGAATGAATGCTGCAAACTTGGTCATTCAAATCTGCTAACTATATTATATATATTATTATTTTCAACAAGGGCTTTTACATACAACATACCGACTATCCTTGTCTGCATACATCTCCATGTGGCGAGGGTTGATGGTGGGGTCAATGACCACCCATGAGCCCCCCCTCAGTTCTGCCTGTGGAGGGATGTACACCAGCACCGGCTGCATGTATTCTCTAAGGCCATCCACAATGTAAGCTCCAAACTTCAGCACCTGGTCGTACATGTCTAAAAGAAAGCATGTTGGAATATAGAGGTAATGAGGGGTGTAGTTTTGATCATAGTTGGTGTATACAATGGAAAAAAACATCAACATCAAGACAAGATAAACACCAAAATAAAAATGTATGAAGAAAAAAAATCTGATGAATGCACCTTTCATTCCTCCAGAAAATCCCCTCCAGTTAGCAAATACGATTAGAGGTAGGCCCTCCCTGTTGAAGTCCTTGATGGCCTGGGCTGTTTTAAAGGCAGAATCAGGGAACCACACTTGTCCCGCCTGCTGAATTATCTGCACACAAGAGAAAAACTGCATCAGTGCATGGCGGCGCATAAATGTCTACAAACATGTTGCGCACACACAGACTATGCCCTACCTTGGCTTCGGAGTCCAGGTTGGCTGGATCAGCAGGGATGGACAATTCCACTGATCTAGTTTCAACTGCTACCACTCCAGTTGGTATTCCTCCTAGTCTGTAAAATTATGCGAAATTATGCGTACTGTTAATTTGATATATTTTTAAACAAAACAATAATACAATAATTTGAACGTACCTTGCTCTGCCCACCACAACACTCTGTGCCCAAGGTTGCATGACTTCCATAAAGGAGCCGTGATCGAAAAAGCCATTTTGCCAGGAGCCCTTTGGTGCTTTACAAAACAAGGTAGATGTAAACAAATGATCTAATATATATAATGAAATGTTGAGTTGCATTATTTTAAAACTGTACACGTTTCCTTTTGAATGTGTAACCCGCCAGCCACCATGATGGATGACTGTGAATGGGCTTGCTCAGCTCTTTTTCTGCTTGCACACTCCGACAAACACAGCCCGCCTTGGAGGTTACCATTCAATTAAGCCATTTTACTCATCTCTACTGGAAATGTTGACTAGCTTCCCATGTGGTCCTAAATCTCACTCTTGTCTGTAATTACACTGATTAAGATATAGCTGGACTTAAGCTGGAAAACTGGAGTGCTAGTGTTTGGGTAAATTGTCCTTTTTTCAACACCAAAAAAAAAAAAAAATGGACCAATGCCGAGATACTTACACTGGCTAGGACGCCCTGCCAACATCCAGCGAGGGTCATAGGGAGCTTTAGTAGGAACAAAATCCACTGGGCGATCTATAGGGTCTTTGGCAGCGATGACAGGTACTGGGCTTGTTTTACACTGCAATCAAATCACAATATTGGTTTGGTAATGACACTCAAAATGCACAAAGTTGTGAAAAGAAACTTTTAAAAATTTAAAATCATACCATTGGCATATAGGACAACCATTGTAGAAGGGTGAAGACTCCCTCAAAGTCGTCACATACTGTGCAGTGAGTCACGCCATTGTTATGCATGATCTGAATTCCACCAAGCTGGTTGTTGGATGTGTACACTTCTCTGCCCAGCACCTGTAAAAAAAAAAAGTTAAGGTTAAGGTTACTGTAACTTTTCTGTTTTAGTAACCACTGTCTGCTCTTCTCCAAGGAAATGTCATTGCTTTGCTTGCAATGTTCCACAGTACGCCATTAAAAATATCTATCTCCATGGAGACAAACAAGGGACTCTAGGAAGGGATATTTACATGTCATTAGAGACGAGTCCGCTCACATACAGGTTTTCATTTTTGAGCAATAAAAGAACCTGTAATTTAATTAATGCAAGACATACATAAAATGGCATATGGTGGACCTTTCAGACAAGTAACAATAACAGTGCACAATAACAAATATAACTATATAGACCTCTTTCACAGTTAGCTATTAAATTTTAATGGGCATTTTCTTTTGGTTTATTTCCACCAAGGTTCATTCAGAGTTTAATCGTAGTTTTGAATAGATGGTGTACAAGTCACCAACCCTCTGGTCAGAAAAACGGTAATCTAAAGCACACTATGTTTCTTCTAGCTGCGTCAATACAGACAATCAGTGGTTTGAACCCTCTCCATCCTTGATAGCCACAAGCATCTCTGGCCACCAGCAGTGGATTTATACTGATTCATTCGACCGACCTAAATGATCTTAATATTAATCTTAATAATATTTTACTTTTAAATATGGTTAAAATAATAATAAATAAAAAGCTCTTGTAAATTTTTATTTTTCTGTAACAATGACATATAAAGTGCAGAATTTCTTGTGCCCTAAAAGCTGCCTCTGTGCCAACCTCTGGCCATAAAACCTTCCCACCCTATTTTCATAAGAACAGGTGGCAAGACCCTGACACGCTCGCCATAAAAATCAGACAGGAGCTCAATCCCTAGCCTCAGCTCTCACCTTTCCAGCCATCATTTACTTTCTTTATTACCATTAATGGTTATGTATCTGGCTGCAAATCTAGGGCGCTCTCCTAAAGCTGTCAAGAAAGCCAGCGGCCCCGAGAAACATTGCAGTCACCTTGACATACACAAAACCCCTCGTGCCTCTGGCCATTGGCTGCCTTCATTAGGATTCCACAGCAGAGAGAGGGTGAAAAAAATCGGACATGGCTGGGGGGCGGAGAGGGGGAGCACTAACTGTAGGTAACTCACTGGGGTATTTGTACTCATAGTTACTATCCACTCGCCATGAAAATAGGAGATTTTCCAGCAGTTAATGAAATGATGAGCTCCGGGTGGCAGGCACCCAGCCCTTCATTAAGTGTAAGTTAATAGCATTGGACTCTAAAAATGACCTTTGAATAAATATTTATTTCTGCTTAAATTAGGGCAGAATTTGTGATAAACAGATAATGTCACTACAATTTGTTATGCAGGTATTTTCATTCTGCCTTATTCCAGCAAATGCATGAATGTAGTTAAATCTGTTTATGTGTCCTGTATGTACAGTAGATTTTGAATAAATTCATAGCTATGACACATTACTATATTTAATTATTTGAATTAGGTAAAAATATTTTCTCAATACCTAAAAATAATGTAATTGAAAAAAAAGTTGAGTCACACCTTTACTTTAATTTATAACATTTGGTACAATTGGTATATGAAAATATAACTCTGTAAAATAGCAAAAATAATCATTGTTCCCATTGCAAATTTGCTTTCCACTCTGAGCTGGACACTTCATAATAATGTCATTTAATTGCAAATAGGATTAATTGTCCCCTAGTTTTAATCCCATTCCCCATGAACATCATTTGTGGACAGTTGTCAGTATCCGTTAGTGTAGATAACCAGTCAACCATTGGAGCTACACAAAAACAATGGGGTTCCCGGCGAATAGGCATGTCATCACTTGAGCTATCTGCATGATTTTTTCCATCTCCCAATATGTCATCTAATTTGGAATAAATTTGTCGACACTGACAAGGAGTGAGAATGGAGAGCGTAGTGGAGCGTGGAGGAGGCATACAGTACAGAAACAGGCAGACACAAAAACAATCTGCCTAAGCAAAACTTCTCATTTTGATTAAAAACAAATGATATGGATGTCCTGCACCGTAGCCTCTGGCATGTCATTCCATTTCTATGTAAATACAACTTCATGCTTTGCTTTCAATTATTTCTCTATAAGTGGCAGTGGGGTGTGGGGGATGCAGTAGACCACAACAAGGCATACTTTGGATTATAGTATATCCATTCATTCATGTAATAATTCTACCAATATACAAAATACCCATCTCCCATCGTGTGTACTAATTTGGCAAATGGTTATTTATATCAGGCAAGAATGAAAGGACAGGTGGGCAAAACAAAGAGGGCAGAAAATATGGTATGGTGACTAAAATACGAGACAGAGCTGAAGATGCTTAGGATAGGCTGAGCATCAATAGAAGATAAAATAGTATATAAGGCAAGATAGAGAATACAAGAGCTGGTGCCCTGTCAGTAGACAAGTCGTTTAAAAGGGTCACTATGGGTCCACCATCTTCCACAGTTTGGCATTAAACATATCCATCTTGCAAGTCACCTCTCCAGACATGATCTGTAACTTGGCCTGGTGGTGTCACCTGCTTGTCTCAGTGTAGGTAATCATGTTTAATACCGCATTCCACTTATTCCACACAAGGCAATAACATTTCCATGAAGACAAGCAGGTGGCAGACCCTCCACTAGAAAAATTACTTTAAAAGGTGCACTACGTAACTTAACACTCAAAGGGAAAATGAGTTTTGCATTTGTGAATTTACATATGTCTGATATATTCTTTACCTTGTTGAGTGCCCCGGCTCCAGTTAAGATAATATGTGAATTGTCCACTTGAATAGTTCTCTGCCCAAGCCTCACCAGATAGGCCCCAATCCCTATGGCCCGACACGTGACCTATAAGACAGCAAAACAATAATAATCATAAGCAAGTGGCTACACTGAAATCAGATTAAGCATGTAGAGGGAGCATTACTGCATGGACAATGTTGTGACTGTCGTCTTACCAGGTTCATAGTAATAACCTCTTCATAGGCTAGAGACGACTCTCCAGCAATCATCCCTGAGCCTTTGAGATTCTCCACACCGAGCCCCTCATCCTTCCCAATGATGTCTGTGATCTTGTACCTGCATAACAACGCATTTTCAGTCACACACATGAATATTCATCTGAACAGAAGATTCTAATATACTTTTATAACCATAACATTGAACATGGCATACCTGGATTCTCCCTCATCTTCCACATGTTCACAGTGCACCGAGTTTAGAGCGGAAACCTTTTTGTAATCTTGTGGTGTTAGGTACAGATACTTGAAACCCTGCAGAAGAATTTCAAATAAAATCACTTAAGGTAGATTTGGTAAAGAAGGAGGCACAGTGGCTTGGGGTCGATGGTGGCTGAATGCAAACAAATATTTTTTTTATATTTAAAATGTTTTCAGGATTCTAATCAAACTTTGACTTAAAATTTGTGAGTCAAAACAATTTCAGTAGGCTAGTTTCCCACCTTTTATATTCTAGCTTAATGTTGCGTTGTAAAAGAAAACTACACAGAGGAAAGAATAACATAATTGGGTGCATCTGACAGACACTGGGTTAGGCCTTTCATGATAACAAAACTGAACGATATATTGTAATAAATTGTAATATTTGATATATTTAATAAATGATAATATTAAGAATAAAATAAATAAATAACTGAATGTACCAATAATTAGCCACTTATTCAAACACTATTACAACTTCTTTCTATTACCACAAAAATACCCCAAATCTCCCTGTTTTTGCAAAGAAATTGTCCACAAGATAGGTATTAAGCCCCAAAATATAGAGTACTAGCATAACGCAATAATGAATTATTGTGACAGGAGTACACTGGTCATGTAATAATGCAAGTGGGCAGTCATTTGTGTAGCTCACCTTATATGGGTCATCAGGATCTTGCCAGGCTACGTGGAACATGTGCCGTATCTCCTCTGCCAGGCCGATCCGAGCTCCGCTGTTGGCGGCGATGTAGATGCGCGGAATGCCACTCTCTCGTGCCATTTCCGATGCTCTCAGAAACAGCATGTCCTCCTGGGGTCCGAAAGAGCCAATCTTGTGTGTGATGTCATTACTTATGACAATAATCTCACGGCCTCCAGGGTACTCTGGAGTACGCAGGGTCATCCTCCAGGCAACCATTCCAATCTGAAGAAACAGGACAAATATATACAAATATAATTTTAGCCTCATTATGACATCAAATATCATCCACAAACATTGGCTCTTGTGAATGTATGTTTTAGCATATTTCATACTTAAAGTAAATTAAAAGCAAACTCAACTGTTAAATGCATGGAAAGACACTATTGCACTGTGACTGATTTATGAGGATTCCCAGACCCCCGGAATAAAATATAAGTTTCACTCTGTGCTATGGAACAACAGTCTAATGCAAGCCTTTTAGACAATTTGCTATATAAAGAGAGCCACCTACAGAGGAAAAGGAAAACTGCACTTAACAAAAGGAGGGTGACAATGGCGCTGTACCCGGCAAAGTTGAAATAATTTAATTTAATCACGTCAGGCAATCTCACTAACCTCATTGCCTCCTGGAAGTCTGTTCATCTGCACCAGCTGGCCCTGTGGATCCAGCACTAGCTCTGTGAACGTCAACATCTCAGACGGTAGAGGGGGTTTGGGTAAATTGGCAAAATTCTGGGTTTGCTGCCACAACTTTTTTAAAGCCTAGAAAAACAACAGAAAATACATATTGTCACATAAATAAATAACATTATAGTCCTTCAGATTATAAAAATTATATACTTACCTGTCGGAACATTTCAGGGAAATCATAGACGTAGGTGGTGCCCAGAGACTGTGCCTGGAACCTCTTGGACTGCAGCAGATCTTTGGTCACATACGGCGTGTTGATCAGCATCCCATGCAGCGGACCTTGTTTATCTCCATATGCTTGAAACATAATCTAGATTTAAAAAATATATAGAAAAGTTACTTTTAAAAATTACAATTCTGAAATTCCCCAGAAGTTGAAAAGGGAAAAGAGGGATTGCTGCACATGTAATATTACAAAATTATACAATGAACAGTATGTCAAAATAACTCAATTAATGCCTACTGGGATAGTGTTAAGACCTTACATTATTATGTGTTGTGCTATTTTTACCCCAAGAACTGAGAATTGACCGACATTATAGATGATTTGATGGCTTGATAACCAAGATGAACATGTTAAAGCTATGACTTTCCTTGTCAAGTAAACTCCCTATACCATAGATTTCCACCTTTCAAAATACAAAAATGGATGAATACTGAATTTGCCCCACCTGACCATCTTTGGGCCCCACCTGTCCCGTCCTAGAGTCAGTGACCTCCTTATAGAGGCTGATGTCCAGGTAATAGCCCGATTCATTGGTCAGAAACAGCCGAATGGGGATCTGTTTTCCAGTTGGCGTCAGGCGGATGTTTATTTTCAGCTCGGCTTGAAGGACACGCAGCTTCCACAGTCGACTGCCATATCGCATCACCATAGAGCGAACAGACTCTTCAATCTGGAAATAAAAAAGTGATGCAAGAGTGATAAAACAGCCATAGACCATAACGTTATGTCTAATTGGGGTAATAAAATGTTTGATTTTCTAACTTTCTGCTGGTTAAATCAAAAATTGTGTTAAGCCCAGCAAGGTGAATGTTTTTGTAATTTTAGGCACTACAAAAAATAAACTGAAATGACTAAAGTTACAAAATAGTACTTGTCCATTTGATTAACCAACCTTTGAGGGGTCCATAATGACAGTGGGCACAAAATTGAGAAAGATATGGTTGCAGTCCGTTCGCACAGTTGTGTTGTTAAATGCTACTTCAAGTTCATCCATGGCTTCAAGTAGCAGCCGCTCTGCCTCATTGTGGAGGTACTCAAAAGAGGCCTCCTAATGAAGAAACAAGGGTGATCAAACACAATTCAAACCTTTATAATTCACCTGACTCCATTGGTTTACTAACCTTTGTGACCAAATCAGAATGTCGAATGATAGCTCGCACAAAGAAGCGGTAATCTGTGACCTCTGCACCCACTTCTACCCGGGCTGCACCCAGGTACAAATGCATCTTATGATTGGCACATGGGATAGCGGTCAGTGCAAAATTACGCATGCGATTAAGCTCCAACTGGAAGGCAAGAGCTGGCTCCAAGTGACGATAAATCCTGTCCTCTTCAAACTGAAAACAGAAAAAAAGTTAACATTTTAGAATTACATATCTAATTCTCCTTTCTTCTCCCTTTAGATTACAAAGTTGGTCTAAGACTAGAAAGATGCCTTGAGCTTGTATTAAGTAAATGAAATCATGGCAAATCTTAATCTGGGAAAGCCGCTAATGGGTGTCATTTCTCTTAAATGGGAGACATAATTACAGAGTTCATTACTTTAATGAGTTTCTGTGGTGTCAGTGCAGGAAACTATCAGGGGTAACGGAGGGGAAGAACAGTTAGTGGCACTGATAACAATGAAATTCAACACCCGGGGGGCGTGAAAAAGTTGTTTTGAATTGAGAAGGCCAGGTTTTGATTAGCTTGCAGGTTCTATGCATTATTCAGGCTTTTTAGACTATGTTTTTACATCTTGGCATTGTCTTTTATTATGTATGTGTAACTTGAAATCATTTAATATGTGGGAGGGGGCAGAATAACTCCAATAAAATAAATGTATTATGTCTTAAAATAGTAACCGCTAACATTTACATAGTTAATTAGTTCAGAGTGAAGTTAAAATGTGAGCTCTACGGACATGACCCTGATGCATGATTAAAAGCAAACAACATTTGCTTTATAAAATATAATATATATATATAATATAAATAAAAGCATTCAAACGTTTGATCACCTTGTCTCTGGCACGGAATGTGAAGAACTTTGGGAATTCTCTCTGAATTAATAAAAAAGAAAAGAGTTAAAAACAAGTTATATTTAGTATACAAAGTATTCATTTTACAAGCAGTTCAAGAACTTATAGGATCAGAACATTGTGATTTGACACTATTCTGCAAGGAAAAATAAACTCTTCTTGCTTTTGGAGAATGGAGCAGTCTTTTGCAATATATATGCTCAGTAAAATCAATGTCTATTCAGTCAGACATACATAATTGCAGCAACAGCTTCTCATGTTGCACTGCTGAATTAAACATGTCTTTTTAAGAGCCATTTGATCACGTGAAAAGAGCAGAGTCTGTGAGACAAGATATCACACTTGCTGAGACAATGTCTGAGTGATTGCCAACCACCCTCATCATCAAACTCAAAGAAACATAGTCTAGTGCACAAAACTGTTCAAGTCTATAGCTGTGATTCAACAACTTGATCTTCGCAATGTATGAAGAAATATTTGGGGTGAGCAGAAAATATAACAAAAAGTCAAGCTATATTAGGAGTGCCATTGGGTTAGCATGATTAGCTCTTACTGAGAACTCTGGTCCTATCAAAAGGTAGAAATCAAAGGCTATTGTCAAGATGAAGGCAACAGGACAACGGCATTTATCAAAATCTAATCCTCGTCTAAATTACCTGCCATTATCATTTTCATTTCAATGCAAGTGGGTGTTTTGTGGATAATGGGTCAGACCTGGGGAGATACAATGAGGTCCTGCGTGCTCAAAAAGGCACAGCGTGGAGCAAAAACAGCATGTTTGTGGGTTCAATTTCGGTCATTCTTACTCAACGTGTTTGCTAATAAAACCAAAAGGCACAAATAAACCGCCATTTTGTGACCACTAGAACTAAATGCGTTTAGAAATTTTTATTGTGATGAGGTTTAAAGTAACATCTATTTTAATAAACTGTTATTTCCAAATTTATCTAGGCCTGTCACAATAACAAAATTAGAAGTTTGATATATTGCTGATAAATGTGAAGAATCCCTCAGTTATCCAGGCAGAATCCATGAGGAGAAAATTCAGTTCTGAACTGAAGAAGCAGCTTGGATGAGCTGCGAAACGTCTTCAACCAAATTTTTGTAAAGTCGACAAACTGAATTTTCTCCTCGTAGATGATAAACGATAATATTGCAACTAATGTATGCCAATGACCAGATTTAAACCACAGAAACTATTCTAAATCTACAACACTGTGTAAAAAATCATGAGCTGCAATAAATGAACAGCAAAATTAAACACTTTAATACCCGGTTTACATCTGTAATGAGTCATAGAAATGATTAATTCACCTTTTATGACTCAAATTGTATCATATAGCCAACCTCAAATTTTCCAGTAGTGTAAAGGCAAAGTATCTATGATAAATATTGATCCCCAAAATATATTGTTACAACTTTCATATATTGAACAATAAGTCAAAATAGCAATTATCATGACAGGCCTAACTGTATCCCCTACTTACATGAAATCTTTGGTCCACCTCATAGTTGATTTGCTTCCTGAAATCCTGTCAGCAAAAGTGTGCCAAAAGCAAGGCATGCAGGAAGAGATACAGAGACAACGAGCAATTAAGCAAAATTTTAAGTCACACAATACAACTACTGTTTTCACAGCATTGAGATGTGTTATGAATTAGTAAATACACCATTTCTGGAAAGGCAATTTAACATGCTGCTGCTGTAACGAACATGCAAGACAGTACTGAAAAAGAAAAATCCAAACACTTATCAGAAGGCTTACTTTCTGGGCAACAAGGAACGTCAGTCTGCGGATGCCATGTTCAAACAGCACGGATTTCTAAAATAGAAGTTAACAATTGTTGTTTACACTTGAATACTGAAGTAAAACTAATAATAAATGTATTGCTATAACTGTAATAACTATAACGGTATTGTACCCTGGACTGAGTGAACTCCCGGAACATGGCTGCCAGACCATCATCGTCAATGTCACTGTCCGTCTTTATGGCAACATTCAGAATGTGGATTGGCTCATCTTGAATGCTCTGAAAACAAATACATTTTAAGTGCACGTGAAATCTAAAATCTAAAATAATTTTGTCATAAAAACACTTATAACATTAGTGATTATAATGAAATCATGTTTATCAAATGATCTTTTTACCTTGTTGTCTTCTTCACCATATAGCACTGGATTACCTCCCTCTGGAAATGTTGGACTTGGTGGTGGAGAGTCAGAAAAACAGCTCAACACATCTGTAATGTTCCTGATAAATATTTCATTTTAGTTTTTGGGCATTAGTAAAACACAAAGTATAAAGTTGTAGAGATATTTTTTACTTTGTGAACTCCTGGAAGCTGCGGAAGGACACCATTGCTCCCATCCGTTGACATGGAGGAGTAAAGGATGAGTCTAGCAGAACGTCACTGACACTGGCCACATGTACCATGCCGTAGTGGTTGAGATTGGACGAGAATGACATCCTATGAATTAAGTGAAAACCTTTATTAATTAATTGAACAAAAAAAAAGCATGGCTGGCTGAAAAGACTGAAAACACCTTCTCGAGAACCTCAGAGCAGTTTTACGTCCACAGCTTTTATTTCTTTTTTTCTGCACTGAACAATAGGGATTTTTAAACTGATTGAGGTTCAGATGTCCACCATTAATAGTGATCAGAGTGAATGAGTGATATGTAACAATGTGAACAATTTGTTAGTATAGACATAATAAAGAGCAATACACCAGCTCCCCAGCAGATATTTCCACACAGTAATTAATTTGTTGTGTTAGTCCCAATCGTGGAAATCCCCAAGAGATTTCTTAAAATAAAACCTTTGGTCATCAAACCTTTCCAAAGAATCCAATACTGGGCCATCAATCCTTTCAGAATTCTCATCCTTAGCCTTATTATTCTGTTCATTAAAGTCCTGTGATCTAGATTCCTCTATCCTTAACTCCAAGGCTCTTATAAAATCCCGGACCGGAGCAGAAGGTTTCCTGGTAAGGCATTGATCACACATTTCTAGTCAGATACCTGAGTATTCAGTTACCTTACACCACAACATGTATACAGGTATTATAAGAATCACATACATTCTCAAAGGCACACACACAAGACACAATCATTGACTCTAAGCTAAAGGCTGTGACATTATATCAGTTGTTAAAAATTAAGTAATAACATGAGCAAGTTTTTCAAAACAATTTTTTTTTGGTTTGGCATATTCAAAATCCATGTTTTGGCCATGCAGGCAACTAGCCTAAATTTGCTAGTAAACTATGCAATAAAAAGAATGAGTACAATACCTGTTTAGAGTGGGGATGTTCCCTCTGCAATCAAACAACATCAGTTACTACGTGGTTAGTAGCAAGCAACATGAGGGAGACAGTCAGTTTAAAGAAATGTGTGTTACTTGTGTTTATGCTACTAGGTTGTGTTGTTATTACTAGGTGTTGATGTAGCAGTGAATGTGGCTGTGAAAGAATGAAAGTGAATCGTAAACACACATTTTGCTTTTGGATTGTTCCCTTCCAACATGCATAAGATAATGACACTACCTCATGCTGTTATTAGTTCACAATAGAGAAATGCAAGTGTTAATTCAAGTAAACACAAAAATGAACATGCATTCGTATGAGTTACATGTGGCTTTGTGAAACCAACCTGCTACTGCCCATAGCTACTATATAGAACCACATACTAGTACAAGAAGAAACTACGATAAGGGCAAAGCAAAAATGTATAGGAACATGTCACACTCACACATAAAGATACAAAACCCTGGCACAAAATAATTATTAAATCATACTAAAGAAAAATCCAAGTCTGATCTTGCCTTTTTTCTATGTCTCTGTAAACAGTTTCAGGATATTTAATTTCACAGACAAGTCACATCAAAAAAACAATGTAAGCAAGAGCTTAATAATATATATGCTACAAAGTTTTTATACCAGTATATTAGAAAGTACTTTGGATTATTTTAAGTAATTCACAAAGTGTCAAAATGTGGATTAGATTGTTGTTGTTGTTGTAGTATGCATTTCAAATACATACTGCTATAGTAAAACAAAGACAAACTGCTGTAAATGTCTGTCATGACATTATTTACACAGTATTTTGTAATTAATAAAGACAAACATATTTTCAGAGTGCTAAATGTCAAATAACAGTACATAGTTATTCTTATTAAGAAGGTGTATAAGTGCTGAAGATGTGCTTTGTGATACCTGTTTGGATGGGAGGTGGGGAGCATGAACTGGAACTCTACTACACATGTGTTATCCTTCAGTTGTCTGTGCTGGACACTGTTGAGCTCATAAGCAATATAGGCTCTTCGCACATAAACCTGCCGTTTGAAAGGTTTTTATTATGAACTTCAATAAATTAATAAAGTCAAAAGAAATAACTAAAAATGATTGTATTACCTCTAGAGCAGCCATCCTTACCACCTGATTACTGTGGTAGAAAAAGTTAGGCAGAACATCAAAGATGGAGGTCTCTGACAAGATCAGTTTCTAGAGATGAAAACAAGTATTAATACAGAAACACTTTCAAATATTTCTACCAATTCAACTTTCATACCTGAAGGTTCTCTATGCAGAACTGGTGTCCATACATGTCGATGGCAGACAGGAAAATGGACTCCACTTGGTTGTGTCGAAGCTCATATGATGGTAGATGTGAAGCTATGAGGACCTGTAAAATAATATAAAAAAGTGTTATTCACAATAACTGTTACAACAAGTTTAATTTCTATGTTTTACTGACACCTGGTGGATAATCTTGGTAAAGTGCTATACTAAAACCATTTGAATGAGATATTTTCTTAAATTATTTAATCATTTAATTATTTACTTAAAAAAAAATAATAATAATGGAAGAGTAACAGCACCTGGCGAGCACGCAGTGCCACTTTGGCATTGGTAGTTTTGCTAAGTTGTGTTAGTTCCGTCAATATCGTCATCAGCTCATCCGTCAGTGTGGGATCAGGGCCACACTGCTGGTCCTGTAGATGGGGCAGAAAATGATTTTATTTACTCAGGCTGAATATGAACAATATACATTGTAAGATCTTGTATGTTTGCTGGCCTTGTTATGAGCAGTACAAATGAAGCACACTTACTATGAGCATAGTGACCAGTAGGTTCTTTTTGGTGACTTGTGCATGAGAGAAGATGTAGTTGAGCACATTGGCCATGTCACCTTTGTTTTCCTCCCTCAAAGCAAACACACACTTGTCATAATGTCCTGTTAGTATGTCAAAAAAACACGCTTTTAATACTAGAGTTGCTGCAGTCAATATCACCATACAGAGAAAGAGCTCCCTCAAGTGGTCAGAAAAATGTACTGCATGCAAAGCTAAGCATCAACAATAGAATAAATCACATGAATGAATGAACTCGTACCGTTTTGAAACTGGATTTCTACTTTTAAATATTGTCTGAGCAAATCCATCACCACTGCCTTCATATGACCTCGGATTCCACTGCGATACCTACCACAAAACACACAAAAGATGGTGACTATACAAACAAACAAAGGCATCACTGCATGTATCATAATTCCAAAAACAACTTTTGTAGAGAAGGTTTCATCAGTGGTCATCTGGACCACCAATTAACCTTCTCTACATTGAGCCACTCCTGGATGAATGAAGGATTACACTGTCACAACTTAAGACACTAACTTTTGAACCAACTGGACAATGCTCTGGGTGTTCATGAAGAAGACTTCTCTCTCTGATTTTTTGTTGAGGGTGGCAGCGTGGCTGTCAAGAATATTTGCAATCTGCAAGGGGCAGAAATAAAAATTCTAATTTTGACAACTGACTGGTGTACTGTTGTTAAGTCTTGGTAAACCTCATGCCCATGCACCTGTTGACTGGGAAACTGGCAGAGCACAGATGTTATGTTGCTGGCATACTGAGCCATCTCCTTCTTGATGGCCTTCTCCACAGCAGGAGGAATGCGCCCTGACACACTGGTCATGATGTCCTGGAGCTCCAACAACGGCAAAGATGGATCACGCATTGTTTTCATTAGCCGTTCAACCCACTCTTTCAACTAAGACAGTACAAGACAAAAAAAGTCAATTATGAAGTACTTACAGCTATACCATTGTGCAGGAGTGTTTAAAAGTCTACCTTGGTGCCAAAGAAAGGCTCAGGGAGACAAAAACCATTCATAATGTGAACCAGGTGATCCAGTGTGTTGTGGAAGACTCTGTGGAGCTTTTCTCCTCTTAAAGCCACTGCCTGGATTGAAGGTAATGTCCCAGTATACAGCTCAGCCTATGAAATAAACAAGCCAAATATGTAAAGCATGAGCAAACTTATTCAACAGAAAATAAAAATAAAAAACTTAAATATCCAGGATTTTAAGCTACTTACAATAGACAAGAAGTAGTAATACACAAAATTATCAACTATACAAAATTAATTCACTAACAATAGGCCAGTAACAACATATAAAGACAAAAAATATTTAGTCCTGTTTTAGCCCTGGTCTAGTCCAGATTGAGTTCTGAGCTTAGTTCTGATGTAATGTATGACGCGAACCTTGCTGTATTATGAGTCATTTACATATAAGTAGGAAAACAAAAATGGTGAGATTATGTGTTTGTTATAATGTGGAAAAAAGTTCAAATGAGTATGGTCCTGCCCTGTGTAGATTAACAAAACTCCATACCTGGAAATAACATGCAAATGCCTAAATGTAAATGACCTGCATTACCTGTTGAACTCTGCTTGGGTCATCCAACTGTAGTTTGGCAATGACACAGCCTGGCTCCAGTGCTGCTCCAGCCCTTTTTACGTAGTGTATACAGCCAGACTCTGAAGCAGTAAGGGTCATCACCATCTTCATAACCTGCAAACAACAAAGGTAGTAGATACGTTATTTAAACCATGAATAAGCTTCATGAAAAAGCCAAAAACAAATATAATTGAAGGTAACTTTTTATAGCTTTTATCATCATATTTTATCAAGGCTTTTATTATATTGCCCTTTATTTTGTTTACATTGTCTACACGTATTTCCTATTTTGGTGACTGTCTGCACTTCAGTCCTTATACAAGTCTTTGTTAATAACATTGCAGGCATCCATACCTCTATTTCTGCATAGCACTGCCCAGAGAAAACATGGCCACCATCTTCAACAGTGTATTGAATGAGTTTTCCAGCAGAAGGAGATCGCAACAGTGAAGGATCATTCTCTTTCTCAAAAACACAAGTCTTGTTTCCGATAGTAATTCGATACCTTTGGGGGAAAAAACACAACAACATGAAAAACATGTGCGTGTTGTGAACATCTTTGGCTTATATTCTGAATTACCTATCCACTTCTTCTTTCATGTAGGTGGTGTAACTGCTGCCATCATAGGACAACAGCAGCCCTCCATCACTGAGCCTGTGAACGTCCACCTCAACACAGGAGTTGTTCATAATCACCACATAGGAGTTTGGAGACTGACGCGTCACTGTCAGAACGTATTTAATGCCCTCGTAGATGAGTTCTACATCCACAGTGTTGAGCAGCGTGTGGGCAGGTAACACTTGACCCCTAGTGGCAAATAAGAGGTAATTATATAACATAAACTCAAATAAAATTTAGATAAGAGGCAGTAAAAAGGCCATTTTCTACCTCTCAAGTGAATGCAGAAAGTTGGACACACTATTTCTCAAGTTAACATCCGCTACATGAAGTGCACCACTCACAATTCCAAGCATGGTGTCAGGTCGTTCTGCCTGCACCAGAGCACAAAGTACAGTTACACTGGGTGTATTAGCAGAAACCCGTAAATTATGCAGTCATCCTTCTGTATTGCTCTAGCTAATCCAAGGGCAATTATTTTACATAAATTAGTATATAAATTATAATATTTCAATGCATTCTGTATCAGACATAGTTGGGGATCTCTGCATACCTGCATCTTCTCTGAAATGAGCCGGTCAAGCCAGCCTGTGTCAATACTGTTCTGTTGAAAACTTTCAGTCTCTAGTAACTTGATGAGGTATTCTACGGTTGTTCTGAAGTCTCCTCTGATGGACAATTCCTTTAGAGCCACCACCATGTTACTGAAACACAAAGACACTGTGAGTGAACTGGGACCCTGCGAGAATTACAAAAGCAAATGTTGTCTTTTTAAGGATGTGTTTAAATAATATAAAAGTACTAACGAGATGGCCTCTTCACGATTCTCTCCCCATGAGAAACAATGTCCGAACTGAGAATCAGCAAACTCATGTAGCCCACCAGCAGCTGCCACACTGAAGTAGCCCCACACATTTTTGTTACTACGGAAATTGAGTTCTTGTACTGTTCCAGAGCTAGGCTTGAATCCCTAAAGCCAAATAGAAATACATTTCACGGAAAACATGACTTATAAAGAACCAAGAATAAAGCGTCTTATGCAATTTTGATAAGCAAGGATTACCTCATCTGGGTTTTCACTGGTGATACGTGCAGCAATGACATGTCCCCTTGGTGAAGGGGCAGTGGACAGACCCTCAAAGTCAATCAGACAATCTCCCCATGGATGGACCCCATAAAGCATCCGGATGTCTTTGATTCGGTGAAGAGGAATTCCCATGGCAATCTGAAGGAGGGCGAGAATTTCAATATATGGAAACTTTTTTGTAGATTTAGTTTGAAAAATAAAGACATAGACTAGAATTACATATTACATTTAGCAATATTAACACACTGTAACTTTTATTAGACAAAAAATGATATTGAACTGATACTTTGCAGCTTATGTCATCAACATTATCTGGGGGTGTGATGCTACTTGTAGACACTGCTCTCTTTGAAGCTCAAGTTAGACTTTAATCTGAGATTTGTTTTACTACCATCTGGCCATAAAAAACTGAATCAGCCAAAACTACAACAGGTAAGCTGATTTGTACTGTTAAACAAGTCCCTCTCAAATAACATTAGTTACACGCTAGATAGCATTAGCATTAGCCAACAGTTTTTCATTTAGTCAGTTTCACCTTTTTGTTGAAAGAACATACCTGGTATTGATCACATGCTCACAGTTGTTTTTTTTAAATCTATTTTGTATTTTTCTGGACTTTTCAGACTAACTTGAAACTTTTTTGGCAGATGAACATGTAGAACACCCAGCATGCTGTCATTGCAAAGTATATACATACAAAGGCAAATCTAAACTTCAAAATTAATTAAGAGGTTAAGCCAGTCATACTGAGTAGCAGAAATACATAAACCAAACTAAATTAAGAAGTAATTATTCAATTAAAAAATATGATTAAATAGGAAATACAGTAAATAAGTGACATTTATTGTATTATTGTATTGTATTGTATGACATAAAATTATTAATGTAAAAATTATTAGTGCCATCATAGTCTGAATAGAATCTAATGGAAACCATGTACAAACCTGAAATCTACTGATGCACAGTGCACATTGCACACACAGTGAACATTGTACAGTGAACATTGCACAGTGAACATTGAATATTCAGCATATCAGGCAAGGATATTCCTGTTGTTCCCCGGCACAGTGCCCTTCAGCTTGGTGGCCACTGACCTACATACACACAATCCCAAACACTGCAGAACAGATCACATGACCAGCTGTTGGTATAACCCTGAATCTACAGTGGCGCATCTACTCCTTTTATTGTGGGTTACCATGGAGACAGGGGCACATGCTGCTTTGTAGTAAGGGCACTGAAGCGCAATAACTTTTAGGTTACTGGACAGCGAGGTTAGGGAGCCACAGAGGACACTGACCTGGAGTTGTGCTGCAGGGAGATTTACATCCGCCACCATCTCCGTACAGGGATGTTCCACCTGAAGACGAGGGTTGAGCTCAAGGAAGTAAAAGCTGCCATCTTGACTGTAGAGATATTCCACTGTACCCGCACTCACATACCCCACCATTTTAGCCAGCTTTACAGCACACTAGAAAATAAACATGAGTTTAGCATACTTGATAAACTTTAAGCACCAACAAAGTAAAACCCTTTAACCCTCTACCTTTTCCATATCTTCAAAGACATCTGGGGTTGCAATAGTAGCAGGAGCTTCTTCTATGATTTTTTGGTGCCGCCGCTGCACTGAACAGTCTCTACCAAACAGAGAAATTGCATTGCCGTATTGATCTGCAAGGATCTGGACTTCCAAATGTCTGGCGTGCTTAGCAAGCTGCATGACAAATATAGGTGACCCTGGAACTTCGGCTTGTACCTGAAAGGAATCAAAGTTATAGTTAAATCCCTGAACTAAACATGTCATAAGATATTATGTGACATTTACAAACCTGTCTGAAGAGATTAGGGAAATCATCCTCTATGTTGACTTTACGAATGCCTTTTCCTCCACCTCCTTCAGAGGCTTTGATCATCAAAGGGTACCCAATTTTATCTGCAGCCTGACAATAAAAAAAAAGCATTGTATTAAATGTTATTATATAGTTGCTGTAGCTGTAGCAATAACAATAAAAAAATAATAATAAAATAAGATGGTGTGTCCAAACTTTTGACAGGTAGTATATACTAGTATATAAAATTTATCTGTTAAGTAGCTGAGTAAATAGTACAACAATTGTTTGCAATTCCACCTTTAGTCCACCCTCTACATCCTGAATGCAGCCAAGTTCATACAGTTCATGCGGGACATTAATGAGCTTTTTCTTTTGGCAGTTCTCTGTCCACTCTACAGTAAGACCTAAAAATTAAGAGTAAAAATGTTAGTCTGGACATTTAAAAAACAATACCGTATTGTCTGAGAAACAATGGCCTACCTGTCCCACTCCAGGGCAGGGTTGGGATGCCAGCAGTCTGAGCTACAATGGAGGAAGCTATTTTGTCTCCTAGAGCCCACATTGCCTGACTTGGGGGACCTGAAAAAGACAGATGTGTGTAACCCTCCTGCTAGAGACACAAACAATTTGCCCATTTTTAAATTACCCATGAAAGCAATGCCATTCTTAGAAAGCAGCTCTGGAAGTTTGGGATTTTCTGAGGCATGACCCCAGCCAGCCCATACAGCCTATGTTGGGGAAAGAATATTACACATTCATGCTTGCATAATAATGCATTAATACAACCAGACAAATAATGCAGTACCTGAACAGGTATCCGCTTTGCAATGTCCAGAATGAGTTCAACGTTGGCATAGTTATTGTTGTTGGTCCCTCCAGGCACAGGCACATAATGATCTGCCATTTTGATATACTCTGTATATGACAGAAATATGGTAAATGATTATTATCACACAATGGTTTTAAAGCAATGAGCATTTGAGCAGCTTGGTGAACAACTTTCACCTGCATTAGCTTTGAGGTCCTCTGGGGTCACCATCACCACAAAACGAATAGCTCTTTCATTACGGAACATCTCATAGGCCCAGCGACGAATAGACCTCATGCACTTGACTGCTGCAATTCCATTATTAGCAATAAGCACCTGGTGAGGCATTTTCACACTAATTAGGTTGATTCAAAATATTTAAAGGATTTCATAAAACATTAATTAAAGTAGTATTTCTGATATGCAACAACGCACCTTTTCTATAACTTTGTTGCCACCAAAGCGAGTGACAAATTCAGCAGGAGAAGCAACGGTGAAGTCCCTTTGTAAATCAATGCGTCTACGATCTCTGCTGTGTTTCACCAGATGTAAGCCTGACATGCTCGGCCTGTTTCAGCAATACAAAGAAAGCAAATACTTACTTAGACTAGATTATATTTGAATATAATATCAAAAAGCCTTTTACAATCAGAATGGGAGAACATAATATAACTAATAAGACTGAAAACATTGATATTGGTCTGGATCATGTCTTATTTTAAAATGATAGCTAGCCAGAAGTTATTAAAATAAAAATCTGCTTGTACAAAAATAGACTGTTGTTAGAATAGAGGAATAGTCTCTTCGTTCTATTTGAATCACTGTAGTATTCATAGTATTTTGAAAAGTTTGAAATGACTTAAATTGAACAGACCTCCAGTGTTCTAGTTCTGTGCTTGTGTATGTGTTAGCACTTGAATTATGCTCCACCTCTATAGGCACCACAAGGGGGAGTGGATAAATGGTGCTCTAGTGGGTGGGTTGGAAGGTGTGTCAGGGAAAGGGGTTTCATGGCTGGCTGGACAGGATGGTCTGATACTGACATCATTTTTGGGGGCTTCTTGGCCTAAAAAAGACCCCTATATTTCAGGTAAGCTCCTCCTGAGCCATAACTAAAACATTGCAGAGGTGGCGTCTGTGGACACAACTGTCTAGTATAGCCGGTTTTGGAGTAGTTATACCCCACTGACATGGAGTCTGGTTGTGTAGCCTTTAAAGAATGAACATGGTATTCACATTGGTATGCAGACAAAAAAACAAACAAAAAACATTTATTATCATCACTACTTTTTAACCATTTCTTTGAGATAAAATATGCTGTTATAACTATGTATACATGCATGCAACAACATTATTGATGCATTTTGCAGCTTTCCTTATGGAGGGTCCACCAATCGCTTCTTTCCAATGAGAAGTTAATGTTTTGCCTGTTCCACACTATGGAATTAATCTTGTTCAGCTCCACAAATATAAGCAGGTGATGTCTCTAGGTCAGGTTACAGGTCAATCCCACTCACAACATTTATTTATTTATTTATTGATAAGATCCATGTTTTTCAAGGGATTCTTTTTAGCAATAAAAATGGTATGTGTCGTAGGAAAGCCATACAGTGCTTATATTGTTACCTTAGATTTTGAAGGTCCACTTGGTCAAAGCCCATTTCGTACGTGCTGTCTGAGCTCCCAGATGATGGTGAAATGGAACGAGCATCCTTGTCTTCCAGCTGTATGTCAGTCTTTCCCTCATCCTCTGAGTTGTCCTCTGACCCCACAGTGAAATGAGAGTTCAGAGTGGCCATCATGGGGTCCTTCTTGGCAGCTCTGTCCTGCTGTGCCATGGCCGGGGGACACAAGCAGGCCGTAATAACTGGCATAAAAAAGAAGATTATAACTCGTGAAACAGATGGGGTGATAAAAGAGTCCAAATATCAGGGTACAATGACATTAAGATCAAACAGCATCTCTGTCCAGATCTAATATCGCAACAGTCAGTTACATAAGTGTACTGATAGAACACAGACTATTGCATCATACTATGAACCACCTGAAGCCACAAAATATCATATTAGTACACTTTACCTACATCACATTACATACATACACATTAATACACAGTTTTGTCCATGACTCATGACAATTACATATCCCATGTTGAATAAAAGATAACAAAACCAAACAGAACATACACAACATACAGGCAGGCAGAAGCAAAGCTCCAATGCGGACAGTGGGACTACACATTAGTTTTAACTTTATTGCAGTGGGAAATGCAACCCTTTCCGTTTATTAGCAGCCCGTGCTGTCAGAGGAGGCACACCTTACAAACCATATCTGCTTGTGGGACCAGAAAAACAAGCCTAGCACAGGAGATAGATGCGCTACAAACGCGAACAAATAAATATAGGACAGTGTTGAGTGCACAATCGCTGCATTCACATCTATAAATAAGATGTCCCGACACTGTTCTATGATAGAAGGTTGTCCTGGTCCTGACAAACACAAGCTAGTTTTAAGTTCATCAAGGGCAGAAGCCCGCAGATAAGCCCCATGCAGATTAGAGTATTAAATGCTAGCTGTTAGCCATGACACAGTTACAGACCATCCTCAATGCCGAACAATGCAACAGTAATTACAAATGCATAGCTCGTGTCGAGTATCTCTGCAGCTCTGCGCCTCACCAGAGTTTGCGACACCGCATCTCGAGAGATGACAGACTAGCAGTTACTCACCGGTGGAAACGAGCCGACAAGTAATTCTGAAAAGTTGTTTCACAGATCACCAATGTGAACGGCGTCTAAATAGCATCCCCGGCCTCTGCGAGGTGGTAAAAGGCTATCATGATGAGCTCACATATACTCAGTAAACGCCTCAAACAGCAGAGAGTGGTGTGATGTGATGATGCGAGCTGGGTTACTGTTGGCCATCGGCCTCTGACCCGAGCTTCCGCTAAAGCAGCCAATCATAAGAGTGTAAGCGGCCCACAGACTGTGATGCAGTCTAGCACCACGGGACAGACATATTTATGATCATTTATATAAAACAAAAAACAAGACAAATGATATGTGACAGAAGGAGCAACGCGAAAATATTATCGTATTCCAGATATTGTTTGTGTAGAAGTAGTCCTTTGATGGGACCTGATTGGGCCTGATCCATAGACAGTCAATCACGTTTGAGTATTGCAGATGGGCCGTGTCTTGATTGGCTGACACAGGGGCGCGACGCGGAAGAGGACTCTCCTCTCAAGTACCTCAAGCGGGGCGCATGGGCGCGTGTGGCACATATTTGATTTTATAAGCTAGCAGTTTGAGAATACACGATTAATTTTATGATATAATCTAGTCAGAAACACGAACATCCCATGCTATTATTAACTGGAATGGTTTCATGTTTTATATGTTGCTTAATTTTGTATTATTATTTATTTATATATATTTTTTTACATGTAACTGTATTTTTAGGGAGAACTCGTCGTCATGATTGCATACGAGGTATATGCATATTTTGCAGGTATATGCAGTTTTGACTTGGGTGTCTACAAAAAGATTCAAGTCCCGGGGTTTGGTCCAAATGAGCTCAGATTTGTCATGTCACATCTACAGACATAAACTCACAAAATGCATCAGAAGGTTTTTTGATACTCCTTACGGTTTGCCCGTAGCACGCCGGCGAAAAACGCCTTCATTTCCTGTTTCTTCGGTGACCTGTCACGGCCACAGATATTGTCCTAGAGAACTCAAATTCAAATCACAATTATGTGATCCAGGCCTGAATGTAATGAAATATGAAATCTAATAAAAGTGAACTCTATAGCGCCCCCTAGCATAGACATGAAACGTCAAAATTATCGGATTTGTACCAAATTCGGGGATTAAATTGTATGGATGAATACAAGCAAAAACGTCCATTACGGACATGGTGCATTTTTCACGATTGGCCAGTAGGGGCGCAAAGACTCCCCCAAAAATAGTAAAATTTTTTTTACAAAAAGCCACTTACAAATTTTTTTTTACACACACAGACTTAGTGCGCACATGCTGAAATTTGAATCACTAATGCATAACTTTGGTCTGATTATAATACACTATAACGCATATGAAAAGTGAACTCTATAGCGCTACCTAGCATCGACATGAAATGTAAACATTATCAGATTTTTACAAAATTTGGGAATTAAATTCTATGTGTGATTAAAAGCAAAAAATCTATTAAGGACATGAGGCATTTTTCATGGTTGGCCAGCAGAGGCGCAAAGAATCCTCCAAAAAATATTTTAAAAATTGTAACACGGACATGTTTAGACCGATTGTGCTGAAATTTGAATGACTAATGCAGGATTTTGGCCTGAATATAATACACTATAAAGCATATGAAAAGTGAAGACTACAGCATCCCCAGCCAATGTTGTGCAAAAGAACGCGTTCATTGAACACGTCCATTTTTCAGTGAACTTTGAACTGAACGCAACTTGAACGTGAATTTGTTCAAATTATGTGTGATGAACGACGTACGTCACTGTTGGGGTTCAATTAAACGTCAGAATTTGTTTTCACCTGACGAGTGACGATCTGCTCGCATTTAATCTCGCGAAACCACAGCCGCGTGTCAACGTGAAGGCGGCTCCACCAGCAGCTGCCCAGGGAGCACGATGTGCGGATGGTAAATGCACAAATACAACAATAGATACATGCTCTCTGTGTATTTTGACGGGGATACGCGCCTACGCTCGCGTAGAGCGTCAAAAAATAGGATGGATCCTATTTTCTGAAATCTACACGCACAGGACGTGCTGCTCCGCGCGCGTAGCTCTATAGTGGTTATGGTTAATATCTTGTCAGTGCTGGGAAGTAATTAATTACTGTAATGCGGTGCTTTTTGTTGTAACGCAGTAATGTTCGGCATTATAGGGAAAAAAGTGGTAATATTTTACTCGGTACAAATGTCAGTAACGCGCGTCACAATGCTTTTTTAACATGGATTGAAGTAGTGGGTTTTTCATTTTTTTTCATACAAATTTGCTAAAATCACCGCGATATCAGCAGAGGTACGCCCGCGTAGACCGTGATCGTGAGCGAAAGGACCGGCGCAGAACTCCGCGCTCCACGGAGCTAAACGCAGCTGACGCCCGATCGCGCTTGAGGGTTCCCACATAGCCAAAAGTATCCGCGGCGGATCCGTTTCTCGCGGATCCGCCCGGGACCCGTTTTGGATCCGCTTTCAGAACCGGGTTATTTGCCGCGTATCTGCCGCGGAACTGTTTATTGTGTCGTTAGGAGCCTAAATATGCTTCAGATTTAATACTGATGTATTTATTACTGACCTAACTATACACAAGCAGCATTTGCATTGCAGTTACTGTACATAAAACACATTTTACAGCAAGTAGCATAACTTGTGTGGTTACATTTAAAAACACTCTCAGCAATAGAAGTTGGATCAGTGATATCCTAATATTAAATCTCAGCAAAAAAAGAAAAGAAAAAAAAAGCAGCAGCTTTTTTAAATGTAAACAATGTTTATTTAAATATAAATACATTTATAAATATATAAATAATGAACAATCTAAGAACATACCTCTATATGACATACCCTTAACCTTCCAGTATAACCAATGCAAAATAGTTTGCACAACCAACAACAAGAAATAAAACAATAATAAATAACAAATAAAATAATACACTCGAGTGCATTATATTATTATTATATTATATTCTGATCAGAAGATAACTTGAGTTTATCACCAGTATAAAATGGGTGGTTGTACGTAGTCAGTGTGGAGAGTGGGAGATTTGGAGTCATGTGCATGGTGAGGTGCTGAGCCTGCTGACTCCTTCTATGTCCTTCCCTTTTCCCCACAGCATCTGAAATGACACCACTCAGCGTTAATGCCGGTTTCAACAAACCAAATTTAAGTTTTTTTTATTGCCACGGTTCCATATTTTTAATGCCATGGGGAATAGAGAAAGAAAGGCATTTGTTTCTTTCATTTTGCCAAAGTACCGTTTTGTGGTTACACGCTGCCACTTAGACATAGCTTACCATCACTCCAATATTGACGTGTTATTGTCAGAGAAGCGGCATTTCCATTTTTTTATCAAACGTCCCTGCACTCCGACATTTTTTTTCCTTTGGTCTGAGTGGCGGCACTTAAGCCTTTTTTTCAACATTCCTTCATTCCGACACCTTGTTCTGTACACAGACTGTCTTTCTGTCCCGGTACGTTTCTAGAGCTGAATGCGGGTCGGTAGGCGCTGTTTTGTCGGTAGGAAGAGCTGCTCCCTGGTGCCATTAGAGCGCCTTTCGTGCTATTAGTTTTACGCACGCTACTGTGTTGGCACGAGGGGCCCGCATACGCCTGACCTCCCTGCAGGTGAGAGCGCGGTGGAGATGACCTGAGAGTTAACCTGGTTAACAAGTGCGTAAAAGTCCACATCTTTAAGTCCGCGCACGAGGAGAAGCAGCTCTGCAGCCGCCTTTTTATAAACTTTTATGAGTTTATAAGGGACCCACGCATTTTTGGGTCCCTGTATAAACCGCTCTGTCCTCCATGACCAGACATAATTCCAATCCTTTAGCCCTTATTCATGAAAATATCCAAATTCCTAAATCATTGATCCTTTTAGTGCTGTTGTCTGACTGCGAGTCAGGCACCGCTTCACTCTTGCAACACGCTGAGCTTCACAGCGCATTCTTGTGCGCCCTAGTCTTAGGCGACAGGTAATGAATGTCTACTGCTCCTGTCTATTCACAAAAATGTCCACATTGTCACACAATTCAGTTATTCGTAGTTTCTCGGTTTGGCCGTATCATTCCGCCTTAAGCCAAGTGCGTGTCACCGCTCGCCTTCATCTGCAGTGTCAGGTAACGCCCCGTAATCTCTCCATTCATAAAAGTTTCAAATTCTTACGCATCTGTCCCTTGTAGCCACGCTGCTCGGCTGCACTCGCAGTACCAGGACCTTTACGCACAGTGGTGCGCCTTCAACAACTGGATAAGATAAAAGCATTCTATATAACTCTGGCGCCTGAACCCAGGGTTGACGGCTGGCTAGAAGAACTTGCGCCGTCCTTGGTACAATGCCAACTATACAACCAGATTCATTGTTAGAGAACGCATGCTTGGAGTTGAAATTGTATTTAGAATGCTTTTATCTTATCCAGTTGTTGAAGCACTGCCCGGCTCGGAGCGCACTGTTTGCCCGGCTCGGAGCGCACTGTTTGCCCGGCTCGGAGCGCACTGTTTGCCCGGCTCGGAGCGCTGCCGCGCTCGCTCGAGCGCACTGTTTGCCCGGCTCGGAGCGAGCGCTCAGCCCGGCTCGGAGCGCAGCCCGGCTCGGAGCGCAGCCCGGCTCGGAGCGCAGCCCGGCTCGGAGCATACCTTCCCTGCACGGAGCACTCTGCCTGCCTGGCTTGAAGCGCTCAAATGACTGAGAACTCTGAGCTGGTTTAGGGAACATTAATTAAGCATTTTCAGGGAACAGTTTCTGTTTGTTAGTTCGGCCTATTGACTTGTGCAGGGTGTGGAGTCTAATTAGCATAACAATTCATGGCCATAATGGAGCTTCCACACCTCTGAACCTGACCTGGCCACACCTATTGTTCTCTTGTTTGTTTTGAATTAGGTTTGAGGATGGAGTTGTAAATAGGAGATAGATGGTGTCTGAGGCCTCCATTTCTGTTTAGAGAAGGATTCTCTTTCTTAACAAAAAGGGCTTCTTTCACTCCCCTCTCAAACCATTTTTTTTCTCTGGCTAAAATCTGTACCTCACTGTCCTCAAATGAGCGGCCTGTGGCTTTTAAGTGGAGATGTACGGCAGACTGAGGTCCACTGCTGCTCTCTCGTCTGTGTTGGTACATCCTCTTGTGAAGTAGCTGTTTAGTTTCTCCAATGTAGAGTTCACTGCAGTCTTCACTGCACTGAATGGAGTAGACCACATTGCTTTGTTTGTAGCTCAGTGTTTTTCCTTTGGTTGGACCAGTTTCTGTCTTAAAGTGTTCGTAGATAGACGAATAGACCGGGATCTCATTGTCTGAAGAGCCTCTGTAGTTTTTCCGAAACACCAGCCATGTAGGGAATAGTTACCCCCTTTCTCCTGGGTTCTGATTCCCTATTGTCCTGTTTTTTAGTTCTCTTAGTTTTGTTGAAGGCCCATTTTGGATATCCGCAAACAGAGAGGGATTTTTGCACATGTTGTTCTTCTTTCTCCTTTCCCTCTGTGCTTGTAGGCACCACTTGAGCCCTGTGATGTAGTGTCCGAATAACTCCAAGTTTGTGTTGCAGTGGGTGGTGAGAATCAAAAAGCAGAAACGATAGGAGAAGACCGGCGACTCCAAGTTGAGGTCTTCAGGAAGCCACACACATGGACCAGTACCTGCTTTTTGAAAGGACAGTATGACAGAATGGGCAGTACACACACACACACACACACACACACACAGGAAGAACAAAAAAGGAACCCTTTGACTGCCTAAATCGTCCTGAGTTTGCAGCGAACATTCTGTATGTGGAGCTCCATCAGTGGAAGGTGTTTCTTGGTGAACAGCTGGTGCCTTCCGCTTTGGCGTTGACTTTTTAAATTTGTAGCCAAGGTTGAGCGAGGAATTGGGATTTTGCTTTGATGGCGCTCCACATACAAAATGTTCCTGCAAACTCTGATGATTTCTTAGGCAGCCAAAGGTTACCAATACTGCCCATCGCCTTTGCCTTTCACTATTTTTCTATTCCGTTAAGAAGGGAAACAGTTTGAACGGATGGTTCAACTAGAGAAAACATGGCTGCCAGGAGCAACACACGCTGAGATTGCGTCCCAGTAGTCCCAGTGTATGTTCTAATCTAAAAAAAAAAAAAAAACCGCTCTGTTCTAAGGTCAGTTTAACCGAATGACATCCACATCGGTGGATTAGTGGACGTGAATTTAACTTTTCGCACACGCGTGTGTGTATTTTGAGAAGAGGAGACACCGAGGTGGTAACCATTGTTAGCCACCCTGCCAAAGGGGGGATCCAAACACTTTCGTGAGCAATTGTCTTCCTCCGACGTTGATGAACAAACTACCTTTACCCCTGCGGACCGAAAGATGTTGCAGATGATGGCTGAACAACTTAAAAAATTGGACATTTTGGACGAACTAAAAAATGAGGTCGTGGAGTTGAAAATGTCAGTGGAGTTCAACAACAAGCAAATACAGGACATGGAAAAGGAACAAGAGACATTAAAAAACAAGTGGCCGGTTTGACACTTACAACTACTAGCCTGACAAATGAAAACGAGCAGTTAAAGTCGGCACTGCAGGAGCATGCGGGACAATCTGCTCATCATGGGGATAGACGAGGCAAAAGGAGAGACTTACGGTGCGGCGGAGACCCTCGTCAGGACTTTCCTGACGAAACGGCAAGAAAGATCCAACTTGAGCGGGCACATAGACTAGGACAGCGAAAGGAGCAAGGTAAACCAAGACCTATGGTCGTAAAGTTCGCTAGCTCCAAGGGAAAAGATGAAGTGCTTGCCCTGTCTAAAAAGTTGAAAGGCACCCGGTTCTTCATGACAAGCCAATATCCCGCCGAGGTTGTTGAAAGGCGTCGTAAGTTAGTTCCAGTTATGAACTCCTTTAGGCAAAAAGGGCAGAAAGTCCGTCTCATAGTCGATAAACTGTATGTGAATGGTGAACTGTACAGGCATGATGAACAATAACAAAGTCGCATAGTGATTACGTCATCGCAATATTGCTATGGTAACGACTATACGGACTTGACAGGACTGACGATCGGAGCTACTCATTTTACTTTGGGACTGGACAATTGATAAAATGGGGAATGCTCTATTATTTTTCTTGCTTTGGGGGGTACATGTGTGTATGTCTATGTTGTATGTTTGTATGTCCTTGTATGTCTGTATGTCTTTGTTGTTTGTTTGTTTGTTTGCCCTGTTATATGTTTTTCTTATCAGGTGTAGGGGTGCAACAGAATTCAGTTATGGAAAACTTTATTTTAGGGGAAATGGAAATGAGAGACCTAATAAAATGTGTAATAAACATTTTGAGGCCTCATGGTTTATGGAATTACAATTGACAATGAAGTTGGGATAATTAGTTATAACTGCAATGGCCTTGCAGATAACAGAAAGAGAAAACTCATATTTATATGGCTAAAAAGTAAACCACAAGATATTTTTTGCCTTCAAGAAACTTAACAAATGTTGACGAAGAAAAATGGAAAAAAGAGTGGGATGGTCCTATTTTCTTTTCACATGGCAACAGTAATTCAAAAAGTGTTATGATATTGGTAAAGAAACATTTTAATTTCCAATTAGGATCAATAGAAAGGGATACGCAAGGATGTTGGCTCATTCTTAGTTTAACAATTCAGACACAAAGAATCTGTTTGGTGAATCTGTATGGGCCAAATGAAGATGAACCTTTGTTTTTTGATGAGATAGGTAACAGATTATTGGAACAACAGGGGGAAATGATTATAGTAGGGGATTTTAATGTTGCCTTAGACAAATCATTAGATAGAAAAGGAAATACTTCAATAAATTACCATCCTCAGTCTTTACAAAAGATCAATAACATTATGGATACTTTCGATTTAACTGATATCTGGAGATTAAAAAAACCCAAATTTACAAGATATACATGGAGAAGACAGAATCAAGCAAGCCGTATTGATTATTTTCTGATTTCATTCTCCCTGATAAATAAAGTTACAACATCATCAATAGAAGACAAATTACGTTCAGACCATAATTGTATAGGTTTAAATTTTGTAATAGAAGAAAGTATACGTGGATGTGGATATTAGAAATTCAATCAAATGCTATTCCAAGATGGTGAATTTATTGAAAAAATGAAAGTTTTCATTAATGATTTTGTTAAATATAATGAAGGATCTTCAAACCCCCTTATAGTGTGGGAAGTGCTTAAATGTAGTTTTAGGGGACATGCTATTGCCTATTCATCATGGAAAAGAAAAAAAATTAAAATAAAGGAATTAGAATTAAAGAAGGATATTGAAGAATTACAACAAAAAGTAGACCAAGATATAAATTCAACAAATGAGCATCTTAACACTCTAATGGCTAAGCAGGAGGAGTTGACTGATCCGGTAGAAAATAGTTTACTAAAAAGCTATGACCTTAAAAGAGCGATCTGGATGAAAAAAGGGGAAAAATGTTCTAAATTCTTTCTGAACCTTCAAATGAAAAATCATTCTAAAAAGAATATATGTAAGATAGTTACAAATAATGGAAGTATATTATCTACACAATGTACAGTATTAAAAGAAATTGAAAATTACTATAAAAATATTTTCTCACATCAGTTAACTCCTCTTGATACTGAAGATTTCTTCCCAAAAAAATTTGATGGAAAACTGAATGAATTAGAAAAACATCTATGTGAAGGCCTTATAAGTGAGGAAAAACTTTCTGAAGCTGTCATGCCCTTTCAACAAGGGAAAACCCCAGGAGTAGACGGAATACCTATTGAATTTTATCAAACATTCTTCAAAGAAATCAAGAAACCATTACTCTTGAGCTTTAATTACTCATATAGAATGGGGTATCTGACTGACTCCCAAAAAGAAGGTCTCATTTCATTGTTATTGAAACAAGAATCAAATGGTCAGTACAAAGACCCAGTATATTTAAAGAATTGGAGACGTATTACTCTCCAGTGTTATGATGCAAAAATACTGGCAAAATGTTTAGCTCCAAGACTTAAATCCATTTTGCCAAACATCATTCACCAGGATCAATCTGGCTTCTTATATGAAGATATGAGAAATATAGGTAATAACATTAGACAGCTGTTGGAAATAATTGAAAATTATAATACAGAGAATAAAAAGGACTAATTTTTGTTGCAGATCTAGAAAAGGCATTTGATTTGATAAATCTAGAGTTTATATGTAAAAGTCTTTCTTTTTTTTTACTTTGGTGACTCTCTAATAAATTGGGTTAAAACATTGTATAACAAAACAAACTGTAGAATTATCAACTAGAGAGCGCAGACCTCCGCCAAGGACTACCCCCATTTTTTATATAAATTGCGATAAAATCAGTCTTCTGGATCAGATCCGGATCAGCCTTTGGAATATGAAAGAGGATCCCATTGTCCATCCCTGAGTCAAATTTCATGGGGTTTGGTCAATAATTAACCGAGATATTGAGAAACAAAATTTTTGGCCCCATTTACCACAATGTTAACTAAAATTTCAAAGTGATCCAGAATCCAGGATTTCTTCCGGATCACCCCCAAAATGAAATCAGTTCTTCCTTTTCACATTTCCAACAAATTCTGAAAATTTCATCAAAATCGGTCCATAACTTTTTGGGTTATGTTGCCAACAAGCAAACAAACAAACAAACAAACAGACAAACGCCGGCAAAAACATAACCTCCTTGGCGGAGGTAATAATGGACACATCTCAGAGTCAGTACCCCTTTTAAGAGGCCTAAAACAAGGATGTCCATTGTTGCCATACTTATTTATTATAGCAATGGAAATATTAGCTATTAAAGTTAGATTGGATAAAAATATAAAAGGGTTAATTAATAACAACATAGAAACCAAAATATCAATGTATGCTGACGACACTAACGCCCTAAACCTCATTATTTACAAAATCTATTGGACCTTTTGGAATAGTTTTCCCAACAATCTGAACTAAAATTGAATTATAATAAGTGTAAAATGTTGAGGATAGGCAGTTTAAAAGGTACAAATTTTACTATGGATTGTAAAGTACCAGTTGTATGGACTGATGTTATCCCAGAGAACCTTGAAGATTTATGTTCAGTTAAATTTATAAAATTCTTCAATTATGGAAAGGAAAATTTTTGACTTTATATGCTGAAAGTATCCATTATTAATTCTATTATTGTTCCTCAATTTATATATCTATTTATGTCATTACCATCTCCTTCACAAAACTTCTTTAAAATCTATGAACAGAAGATCTTTGACTTTGTTTGGGATAGCAAAAGAGAGAAGATTCAGAGAGGGGTTTTGTACAATGATTATAACTGTGGGGGTTTTAAACTGCTTAATTTAAAAGCTTTATGTTTCTCTCTAAAAGCATCAATGGTTCAAAAAACTTTATTTAAATACAGAGTGGTACACGAGTATTTTGTTGGACAAAAAACACTTACTATGGCAGCAAAAACTGTATCCCTTTTTACAACTGATGCCCTCCCTTTTCCTATATGTAGATTGATTGGAAATAGATCTAACTTTATAAAAGAATGTTTGCATGCATGGTGGCGATTCCAATTTCATAAACCAGAAAAAAAGAGACGACATCCTACAACAGATCATATGGTACAATTCAAATATTGTGATAGATAGGAAACCTTTCTTTTGGAAAAAAATGTTTGAAAAGGGTATTATTTTTGTAAATGATCTAACCAATGAAAAAGGTAAGATCATGAAATATGAAGAATTTACAAATGTATATGGTAATGTTTGTTCACGTTACTCGTATAATCAAATAATTACAGTTCTGGGAAGGAAATGAAAGCAACAAATAAATCAAGGGTTTTATAAACTTTCGGTTTGTACCATCAACAAAAACATTTATTTGGATGAAAGGAATAAAAATAAAAAAACAAATAAATACATTTTATTTATCATATAACTCATTAAAGACAATCCCTTACAATACATTTAGAAAGTGGGAGGACATAATTGACTGCCCTTTACCATGGGAGTGGATTTTTAAATTAATTTACAATACCAATATTGATGTACAAAATAGATTTTTTCAAATCAAAATAATATACAATTTTCTGCCTACAAGGAAAATGTAAAAAATTTGGAATATGATAGATACTGATGAATGCCGTTTTTGCTGTTTGGAAGTAGAGTCGACTGAACATCTGTTTTGGTACTGCCACATTGTATCTTCATTTTGGAGTGAGGTAGAGAAGATGTGTTTAGAGTTGGGTTTGGTTTTCAAGTTGGATTTAGCCTCTGCTTTACTAGGAGATTTTGAAAATAGAAGTGATCTTGTCAATTTAATTATAACCCTAGGAAAACATTTTATTTTTCAAAGCAAAAAATCTATTCTCACTTAATATTAACTATTTAAAAAAAATATAGTTTTCAGTACTTAACTTACGAAGGTTATACAATTGAAACAAAGAGAAAAAAAAAGTATAAAAAGAGATGGGAAGTTCTTAAATACCTGGGAGAAAATTAGTATGTGTATTTATATGCTAATATATCATATAAACTGATGTTGGCCATAAGGATTTAAAGTAGGGATCTATATAGTATTCATATATCTACTATTTATAGTAAAATAAATAAATAAATACAAAAAGAAAGAGGGGAAAAAAAAAGTACTACTGCCACTACTACTGCTACTACTACCAATGATAATGAAATATTATTGTTGTAACTATTGTAATTAATAGTAGAGACAATAATAGGTATTATGGTTGTAATAATAATTAATAATAATAAAAATAGTAATAGGGATAATGGTAGTGGAAATAATAGTAGGAATAATCGTGATAATAACAATAAATAAAAAGAAATGCCTTTAGGGTTATGTTTTGAGATTGTGACGGATGGTGAAAGATGATGAAAGGAACTGATGATGGTGAAAATAAATATTAGTTTCAGTATAGGGACTAATAAATTAAAAAATTATTAAACAAAAAAAAAAAAGAAAGAAAAGGAAGAGAGACAA